GGTAGTCAAGGTCGTTAAAAATCCCCCTATTAGTTTGTTCACAGTATATATCAACAGATGACGTATTTACTGGAAAATGTAAAATTTACGAAACTGTCTACAAAAAGTCTACTTTAGAAAATGAGCAATTAAAATATGTTACAGGCATCCATTTCTTAAAAAAAGAAAAACACGCATGAACTATTGTCAAATTGTTGTAAATATTATAAGAAATAAAACAAACCATCAGTTATTATTTACGGATCCGATGTGAAATTAAGCATGGATTCAGCTTAAGTACTTCTCATTACACAATCATGAATCGTTTGGAGGTCGGTTCAAACCCATTTTTCTATGCTGGTTAAACTATATTGTGAATGTCTGTATCAAAACTATGGGGTGCGATTTGGGTACCCTCACGTTATACACAGTCGTGTACATGTAATGTATGAAGGTAGTTTACCGAAGACACTCCAGATCTGGTTTGTACAATCAGACAACTAAAAATAAGAAAACCAGAATTATCAGTTTGGAAAATTATCTCAATCCGCAATTTGTTACTTATAAAAAAATATGTACTCTTGAATTTTTTTTTAAACTTTGTCCATACCTTTGCTAGTAGACTGCTAGTCTCCAAGGATTTCATTCCTCAGTAGTTCTTTTTGGATACCTTTTGATCAAATAGTTCATTGGGTTTTTAAGTCTTTGAATACACACTGGGCTTTCAATTAGTTGATTTTAGCGGTCGTGATGAAGGTAAATTGAGAAAAGCACTACGGTCGTAACAATTTATAAAGAGTTATTTTTATGTTCATATAATTAATCTGCTGAAATTTCATTTCCGAATCTAGGAATGAGGGACAAATTCACCACGGTTTACTCAGTTTACCACTAGGTCTATACCGATTTGACTATTTATATAAGTGGACATCGTACAACCGGCGATCATTTTTCCTTTATTGTGGATTGTTTAAAATAAAAAAAAAAAAAAAAAAACATCCACATTACTTCATGTACTTATTTTTAGCTTTCTAATAATTGCGAAACATGGGACGAAACTATGAAATATGCCCATTTGTAAACGATACTGACACATTTACAGACTTTTAAGAATACACTTTTAACCTTGAAATTTAAATAAACTTTACGACAGTTAACAGTGTGTATGCTTTATTTTGCAATACTGTATAGCAAATTCATATGTGTAGATTAGACGTGCGACACGCAGTATCAAAGAATTTTTTTTCGCCAATCCGTAGACACAAACCGGAATCTATTGCTATATACTTTTATTTTACGAATGATCCCTGAAGTAAGAATGAACAAGTTGCACTAAAGAACATTTATGGAGATGGAATACAAATTACATACTAGCCGCAAGAAATAGGCCATGTATGATTGTATATATATAGTTCCTGCGGAAGTAACTTTAAAAGAATAAATGGGTTTAAATTGGCCACTTTTAAAAGTCGGCAAATTGTTTTGGAAAGAAATAAACCAAATACATTTGTTATTAGTGGTCGGCAGGTCGGCACTTCTTTAAGTTGGCTATTTAACTTGCATGAAGGAAAAAACGAAGTAAATTCATTTATTTAGTGGTCATCAGGTTGAAAATTAAAACTTATAAAAAGTTGGCTTATTTACATGTAAAGCAATAAACTATAAATATATGTGTACTAAGTGGTCGGCAGGTCGCAAGAAAAAGTAATGTTTTAAAAGGTCGCCACTTTTAAAAGTTTAGTACATAAATCAGAAGTCGTCTGGAGAATGTCTTCCAGTCATAGAGTATGTTAGCTTATACATATTGGTGGACATTCCGGCAGGTAGTATGAATTCCAAACTTGTTATCCCGAGTCAAAGTAAAGGCAGGATATAGTGCCTTATGTGTTGAAATCAGTCAGTACAATTAATTATTGTCTGGTGTGTGCCAAAAGAAATGAATTAGGATCTGTTATTTTATGAGAACCTATAAAATTTAGCTCAATTTCTTTTAACTTATTTTCAGCATCCAATTGGTTATCAAACGAAAGATTGCTCATCATGGTATTTGCTGTGCTATCGTTGGTTCTACTAGTAGCATTAATAATGGCTTCGTCTAAGAGTAATAACTCGGAGTCTTTCAACAAAACGCCAGTATGTAGTAAAGCAAGTAGTAAATATGGCAAAATCAACCTCGACGAATCTGATAATCCGTCTGTATTTCATCACCTTACTGAAAAAGAAATAGAGGGTCTGACTACTTATCTATATCGTCAGACTGACCTGAACCTCGTTCTACCAAGTCGAGGCGAACTAAACGATAGCGTCGTTTATATTAGTGATATACATTTACCAAATAAACAGGATGTTCTGAACTACATTGATAATAATGGACCTAAACCAGCTAGAGAAGCCCATGTAATTTTATTCAGGGGCAACAAGAATCCTCCGTATATTGAAGAGATCTTAGTTGGACCTTTGCCAAACCCAACGTACCATAAACCAGTGCCTTACCGAAACAAAATACCATACATATACCGACCTCCTTTGAGTGGAATTGAATCCGAGAAAGCTCATGAGTACCTGAAATCTACCATTGATCCTGTTTTAGGTAATATGTTTGTTGAACTTTTTGGTGGAAAATTAACAGATTGTGGAGATAAATGTCTAAAATTCGGGTATTATGTTCCTATGTCTTCAGCACTATCTGGGGAGAAAAGTAAAAGAAGAATTTGGATGACTCTTGTCCAAGAATTAGAAATTTCAAGTCATCATATAGTAGATTTTTCTGTTTTGCTTGATTTGAATGTAACAGAAATAACAATAAAGAAGGTCTGGTTTAGTGGTACTATGTTTAATAGTTTGAATGAAGCTTTGACATATTTCAACGCTAATAAAGCCACCATTGCCAAGGTTCCATTTCCAAATTATAGCAAAGATTTATTTTCCACCTTGAACCAACGCGGCGAGGCTCCCATAGACCCCCCCCCTCAAAATCCCAGACAAGTTTCTCCCGATGGTAAAAGGTATAATATAAGAGGACGTCACGTTGAATACATGTCATGGTCTTTTGACTTCCGAATGTCTCTCTTATCAGGACCACAGATATATGACGTCAAGTTCAGAAATGAACGAATAGCGTATGAAATAAGTTTACAAGATATAGGTGTGTTTTACTCAGGCTATAAACCGAACGATGAAGTAGCACATTTTCTTGATAGCATGCATCTACTTGGCAACCTGACAAACATGCTGTTTCCTGGTATAGATTGTCCATCTGATGCCACTTTTATTGGTTCTAACTTTATTGCTGGCGGTGACTCCATCCATAGACAACGTACATCATTTTGTCTGTTTGAACTGAACACGGGGATGCCCCTTAGACGGCACCATTCATACTGGTTCACTGATGGTCGATTTTATGAGGGAATGGAAAACGTGGTTCTCATTCTTAGGACTATCCCAGTTGTTGGTGTATACGATTATACGATAGACTTTATATTCTATCATAATGGAGTTCTTGAAGTGAAAATTACAGCTACTGGGTACGTCAGAACTTCGTTTTATACAGCCGGAGACCAAAACTTTAGCTTTAGACTTCAGGAAAATTTAGCTGCTCCACTACATCATCACATTTTCAATTTTAAGGCTGATGTCGATATAAAAGGCACATCAAACAGATTTTCAACCTTGAACTTTGAACTAGAGAATAATCCTAACAAGTATTCTACCAATTCTAGCGCAAGATTGATTCAACACAAATTTTCTTCCACACTGAAAACTACAGAACGCAATGCAGCATATCGTTATAATTTCAATGAACCTCAATATCTAATTTTTTATAACGAACAGCATAAAAATAGATTTAATAATTTTAAAAGTTATAGAATATTGAACAGAGGCGTATCAGTGCAAATGCTCCCAGAAGGATCTGGGAATGAACCAATCGCATCATGGGCACGATATCAGGTAGCTGTTACAAAGTATAAGGATTCTGAGCGGATAAGTAGTTCCATATATTCAACTTTAGACATAGCTGATCCAGTTGTAAATTTTCAGAAATTTATTGATGATGATGAATCTATTGTCGATCAGGTTTGTATTGAAAACTAATGGTTAACTTCCAATTAATAATGAATTAGAATAAGATTTGGTAAAACTCTTTATATATAGCAACCTGAAACAACTGTGTAAGTGTATGTCCAAAAGTGAACATCGAACACTTGTAACCAATTTAAATAGCCCTTCAGAGTTTTAGGCTTGGAAGAACACAGTACATATCAAAAAGAGGTTTACTATATGAGAAGAAGAACCACATTTGCTTTCCTTTTTGTTCACATAAAATATCTTCACAACAGCTTAATCTCTCCAGTAGTTGTAACATCTACATGTTTTCTATAGAAAAACAAAAAACGCATGCAGCTTCTACGTTGGAATTAAGAATATATGATGAAACAAATGCAAACATAAAAAATGAGATATCAAAAGATTGGCAAATTAGAAGTTCTCGGTTGTGAACATATTAATAAAAGATAGTTAAAAAGACAGTGAAAACTGAAGTATGTGTTATTAAAGAATAATATAATTTCAAGAGTTGATAGGTTCTAATGTGAGCTTGTATATGCTATTAGGCATACAAAGATCCAAGAAGGAAAATTTACAAAAGTTACTATCAAAGTTAGTTATAACTATATTAAAGGTGACGCAAGGGAATGGCTTCAGTGTAACGTTCAACATGCATTATCTGGAAACCGTTATCTGCCGATGAATTTTAAGAAATGTTTCAAAACTTCGTATATTTCAACAAAATGATAACAGGAACTCTCTTTCCAAACTTAAAGTTAAAATGTCTATCCGTCACAAAAATATGTTCTTTACAAAATGCAATGACAATAATGGAAAAATCAGAATTTGTACTTAGACAGGTACGTGCCATTCATTTATTTGCACTCTGTGTTTACAGTATAGGCATTTTTTAAAGCGTAAGTTTGGGAAAATTGTACAGATGTGTGTACGTAATTGATCGTTACATTTTTTTTAAGGATCTTGTTGCCTGGATATCAATGGGGAACCACCATATTCCACATACCGAGGACTTGCCAGTCACACCTACACCAGCTATGGACTCAAGTTTCTTCCTATCTCCTTATAATTACTTTGATGAGGATCAAGGAATAACATCTATGAATGCTGTTAGAGTAGAACCTATGGATAGAACAAAGAGGGAAACATCACTGCACATTCAGCGTTATGGAGTAAAACAAGAAGTTCGTTGTGTCCCAGAGGACAACCAGTATGATGAAGTGATACAAAATGAACCTAGTTTGATTATCGAGGCTTAGATATCTGTCAATATAGTTTACTGAATTAAAAACTAAACTATGCTTAATAATTATTATGTTGGGCTCAAATTAAGTGAATGTATAAGGCCTGTACGAGATTATACCTTTTAAACTATTCACAGTTACATTTTCTTGAAAATAACCCTTTTTGGTTGTATACTAGCGTGGTGTGTTTTCAAAATGCCCCAATGTCAATTCAGAACTGTAAATTTAATGATTAATCCAATTTGATTCATGTACATTATATGTTTTTTAGAACCAAATTTCAAAATATATATTTGTGTTTAATCCCTGTGTTACTAATATTATCATTAGGTTATTATCAGTATTGTTATTTTTGTTTATCATGCCCTCGAGAAAATAATTCGAAAAGTATGATTTAACCCTGTTTGCCTTTACATTTTATGGAGGATGTTTTTGTTTTTCATTTTACAAACTTTTTATGCACAAATGAAACATTTGCTTATTATCGGGACTTAGTTTTCGAGATATGTTATAATAAGAATTTGGTCTATTTTTGCGCAAATTAAATTTGGTTTTCTGTTAGGATAGTATGGCGCATGGATGGGCGGCTAAAACTGTTTGCCTGCAATAATTTGTTAACCGCTCAACCAATGCTTTTCAAATTCAAATATGTTGTAACTGATCACAAAATCGAGGGTAAGTGTAATATTGTATAATTGTCACTTATGCCGTTTGGGATGTTCAAGGAATAGGATCTATTCCCCACCAAATCATAGTACAATTGTTTCAAAAACAAAAGTGGATCAAGTTGATGAAATACGTCAGAGGAAGTGAAATTTATTTTTGTTTTCATTATTTTCTTTAATCCGAACAATTTAGTCGTTATATTCCGCTGCTCTACAATGGTTACGTTAATGTCTAAAGGCCTTATCAAGGAACAATCATCACTTAATCATTCTGAATTAGCTCGGGATTTACCTATCTCTATAACATTTCGCTACCAGCCAATCAAAACCCTTGCTACAATGAAGAGTCTGTTTGGCTGTGTTGGATGTTAGAATACGCAGTCACGCGCGGTTGGAGTAGGTAGTTCGATGATCTTTGCACGTTAAAGGACCTTAACAACTACTTTCTTGGGTCCGTTTACGTAAGCAGCCTGTTGTAAGGTAAAATACCACCACTATTCAGCATACCCTTTTTCCAATACCAGTCCGAATTTCCAGCCTTTTATAACGGTAAATATACATTGTATAACCTATATATTGTATCTTAATAACGTTTCAAATGACAATTGAATAGCCATTATCAAAATGCAGCATAGTCAAAGTAGTTAATAGATGGGAAACCGGTCTTTTCGATTTAAATTGTAAGAGTTACTTATATTTTTTTAAGACACCAATTGCAATTTTCTGCCAAATGCAGCGAAAACATACACACGATTGCGTTTTAGAACCGTAACGAAAGGGCATATGTCGACAAAAGCTGTAAACATATAAAGAAAAGGATGAGTGGTATGATGAACAATGAGACACCTATTCACCGAAGACTCCACAAAACACCATAAAATAAGACCCGAGCCACGATAGGTATCCGTACAGATGGAACAATGGGCAAAGCTAAACCTCATTAAATTATTAGTTAACACGACCATATTTTTCAATTCCTTTTGATGAACCTTAATTATATATGCCTGTTTTGGTCAATTTATTATTTCATCTTAGCATGTAGATAAGTACATGTAGAAAGACACCGCTATATATAGATATACATTTTTACACCAGCAGCTACCATCTTTTCATTCAGGTTACCTATGATACTGGTGAGAAAATTTACAAAACATAAAACTTAGTTAATGAACTCCGTTTTACAAACACCTGTGATACAAGTAGTCAGCCAAAATTAACTATCAATAGACCAATTAAAAGATTACTTGAGTTGTAAATATGTGCTAAATTGGATAGTCTATGAAAAGGTATATACTAAGAAATTAAGGGCTCGGGTTAAGCCCCTCGCTCTAAATTTCATAGTATATACCTTTTCATAGACTAACCGATACGTATTAATTTGACCGGACATTTGCTCTTTTTACCTATAGTGTCTACCTGTATTTTTAATGAATTGTAATGATTACGTAAATAAATTCAACTTCTATTTGTAGTCAGTTAGTTCACAATGACACAGTCTTTAGCATAGAGTTTAAAGTTGTAGAGACTAGTAAAGGGACAAAATGTACATATCACGGTGAATTTTTATCATTGAACAACAGTCGGTTTATTACATTAATATACTTTTTATTTTGATGAACAGACACCTCAGTCAAGAATGGAGAAAAGAGAAACTAGAATATTTATTTGAAATGTGGGCAAAATACCAGTGTGGACAGATTACAAGCTTAATTTGTTCATTTCTTGGGCTACGGATGATATCAAGCGAAAACTGACATGTGATGTGACTATACGTGTCTTTATGTCTTTAGCATATTTACTTATAGTTAAATGTAACTATATCAATGTGCTATGAAATGACCTTGAAACACGAATGTGCTTTGAAATGAATGTGCTATGCAATGCCTATTTAATTTTTTACCATAAAGACAGTTATGACTTTAACTCTGCCAGGTCAAACCTGCCGGTCCTTGACCCGAGTAAAAGAGGAGGGAAGTCAAAATTATATATTACTGAGAGAAAAACTTGATAAAGTTGTATTTTTATGTCCCACCTAGGGGCATAATGATTTTCGGTCTGTGCTGTCTTTCGTCCGTCCGTCAGTCCCGCTTCGGGTTAAAGTTTTTGGTCAAGGTAGTTTTTGATGAACATGATGAAGTTGAAGTCCAACCAACTTGAAACTTAGTACAAATGTTCCCTATGATATGATATTTCTAATTTTAATGCCAAATTAGAGTTTTGACGATCCACTGAACATAGAAAATGATAGTGCGAGTGGGGCATCCGTGTACTATTGACACATTCTTGTTTTTAATGTATGTAAACCAGTTTTCAAATGCTCCAGCTTAAGGTCAAAGTGAACATCATAAATGAACAAATTCTAAAGAATCGGTTTATTTTTGTTTTAAAGATTGGTGCAAAATAGGATTATTTATCAATTTAAATATAACATCAAAGCTCTATGAACACAGTGATCTTCATTTTATAGTTTAACAAACCAAAGTTAATGAAAGGAAATTTTACAATAATGACCACCATAAGTCACCATTAAAAAATTGAGAGACGTAATATGATTGTCAATGACAAAATTTTCCACCAACAACTAAATACCAAATAATGTAAATGACGACGTGTGCAGCTTAACATAGTAACGAAAAATAATTGTGATTTTTTTAGTTTTAGAAAATTGATAATTACCACGTGGATCACTGTTTACATTTTACTCGGAAGAAATTATTCCGAGTATTCTTAATTTTATATATTATATACATTTGAAATTTATTGTTGAAAAAATTATTTACATGAGTTACCTGAACCAGGAGCCTCGGACAATTTATCCGAGGAGTTCTAAGCGAAGAATTGATTACAAAGTTCTCAATCAACGGGGTATTCGAGATATTATGCAGACCGATACAGTTTCAACAGAGGTTACTGCAAATTTGCAGGGGGCGGCTGGTGGACAGGAAGACAGTGAATTAAATATGTCAAAGGTGGATTTTGAAGACTTCAAAGAACGTTTGAGTATTTATTATGGATTCTGAAGATGAATCAGACACCGACGAGGAAACAGGAGAATTAGTAAAGAAACTCAGGGAAATTAAGAAGGAGACTGTGATGAAGACGAAGAAGAGAAAGATCGAATTACGTCAGGAAATAGAGAAGAAAATGAAATAATTGACGGAATTAGAGGAGCTTGAGATGAAAGGGGCTACTAAGAAGAAGGAGAAAGCTAAGAGAAGGAAGAACAGTCTCAGATAATAAAAGATAAGGGCAAAGATAAAGTAAAGGTAAAGGCAAAGATAAAGTTAAAGGTACAGTTAAAGGCAAAGATACACAGAATAAAGATTTAGTTAAAGACAGTAAAGAGCCAATAACATTTCTGATAGTGTCAGATTCTATTGCTAAGTATGTGTCACTTTAAAATGCTGATGTATTTGCTTTCCGGGGGGCTTCCATAGGAGATATCACTTATCAACTCAACAAGTGCAAGGAGAGTATTTATCACGGTTACAATTGTTTACTAATTCATGTTGGTACTAATGATATTCATTTGTTATTTATTGATCAATTTAAGTCTACCTACTGTAATTTGATTTCTACTGCTAAATCGTTATTTCCTTCTATGGTTATTGCATTGTCTGGTATTCTTCCTCGCCCTGTAGATTTTGATGAAACTGGTCAGAAAATTAAGGAAGTTAATATGGCCTTGTTGAATTTATGTTTGTATTATAAAGTAGAATTCATTCATTCATATAGACATTTCCTGAAATATGGAAGGCCAAAGGTGGAATTATTTCCATATTAGGATGGTGGTTTACATCTTAATTAAGAAGGTACAAGGCTGTTGGGGTTAAATTTTTAAAGAAGGCTTGCTCATCTAATTTAGTTTGTGATAACTTGTCATTTGAGATAACTTTCTCAGGTGAAGTTGAAGGATTAGAAATGGTTGAATTTCATGTTTCTGCCATTCTTCCTTTTACTATTTTAGTCTATGGTGGATATTATTTCTTCCATACTAAAATTGGTATTGCCTGCATTTTCTATTTGTTCATAATGTCCTTAATATATAAGTGTATTTTTTATTATTTATATTATTTTCTGATAGTTTATTTATATTATGTTCTAATGATTTTAATTTTATTTTGCAGGTAAGGGACTCTTTTCGGTGAATATTGTTCACACTGTGGGGTTCTGTTCTTATCATATGAGATATTGTTTCTTGTATGGAGAAAGAAGTTTAAGTTCATGGTTGATATTGTTTCTTCCTTGATTGCTTTGCTTATTAAGTTTTTGCTTGATATAATTTCTTGCATGCTATATTTACAAGCATATTGTTTAATATTTTTTATCTATTTAGTTAAAAGTCATTGTTCAGCACAGTTGTTTGTTTTTTTGGCGGCCATTGGCTTGGCGGCTAGCTCAAATGTGTAATTGATCTGTTTGGCTTAATTATATTTATTTATTTCTAATGGATTGTCGCTTATTTGCTTCGAACAATTTTGGTGTGACTGCCAGTTAAATTCTTTATCCTGTTTTGTGAAATATATTTGTATGTATGTCTTGTTACTATATATTGTGCCGTAAAAAAATTGAGTAACTTTGATTTCGTTTGTGAGAAGCCTGGTAATTAGGGCAAACCTCTAAAGAATTACGAATG